TACCATAGTATCCCCAAATAAAAGGTTTAGGTCTCAGGCTAGTTTGGGTACAGGGCTCCTTTGAGTTGAAGGTTTGGATTGAATCTAAGCGCGGTCGTTCCTAGAGACCTGAGGATTTGCAACATTTTGCGCCTTGTCGGCAGTTGGTCTTGTGGCATAAGATCCAGGGTTTGAAGAGTAGGGGGTTGGTCTTGTGGCATAAGATCCAGGGTTTGAAGAGTAGGGGGGTGGATCAGGCGAGCTCCAGTGGTTTACTTGCAAGCAGAACAACACTTGCAGGAATTTGCTTCGCCGTAGTCTTTCAAGGGATCAGTGGAGGAGAAGGCCACTGCATTACGCGCATTGGGAATTCGCTTCATCTAGATTGGCCGGAGACTCCTTAGCTTCTGTTTTCATCCCCGTGGAGCGCAATCTCTTTCGCAATAGAAGTTCGGCCTCTATACTCCAACATGCTGTCCCAGTCCTGTATATCTCCTTTTCGGCAAGCTTCGAGGACTTCAGAAGCAACCCTGCATGTTTTGCGCACTGGTGGTTGGTAGGGAGTTAAGGAATGCACGGACCGCTGGTATGAAAGGATAATTCTTCTGTTTTCTACTATCCGCAGGTAAGTTTAGGGTGGATGGCTTAGGGTCGCGGTCCTGGAAGAGAGATGTGGCTTTCCTGGTTCTCTTGTTCCACGATCTCCGTACGTAGTATCTTGTTACCCGCCTAAGCCCTAAAAGCCTCAAGCCCTAAACCTTGATCGTCAAACGCTTGTTGGTAAACATCCTGTTTCACTCCTTGACCTTCTGGGCACCCATGACTTCAAAACTAGCAGGTTCCATGTATCATCTGTGCCCTGTTAGGATTTCTATGGTACCCGCATGTAGTAGGGGCTACATGAAGACCATCGGATTCCCCCAAAATCATCGTTACAGAAGAGGAGCTCAGGGGATCAAATTTGCACAATGAGATATATATATATATACCCTAAACTTGAGGATGTTTTGGAGCTGCAGATTTCCCCCAGGAACATTTGCTGTAGTTTCTAACCTGTCCGCCCTAATCCCAGACCCTGGACCATGAGCCCCAAACTGGTGCGATTGTGTTTGCTCGCCGGCACAGGCGCGCAAGATAGCGTCGCCCTGAGACTACGTGCTGCATGAGCTGTTGTCAGTATAGTATGAGTGTCAAGGGAATATGCAGGGTTGCCAGTATGCTTAGTGTACAGCACATAAGTCACACTAGAAACCTTGATAGCAACGGACTTGAGGGAGATCCCCAACCACAAGCCTAGGGAACCATGCTAGAACTCCTGGTTTCGGCTTAGGAATTCATCCTGCGGTCTGGTCTTGGGCTTGTCAACTTGCTTACAATCTTGGCTTAGCCTTGGGTTCGGATAAGCTGCTACATGCGAGTAAGACTTGCTTTTAAGGCGGGTGTATCATCCAAACTTGAAATCGCAAATCCGGAATCCTCAACCCGAAAGGACTGATTAAAAGTAAGCTTATGTAGGCCCTTTTCTGCGTTCCATTTCGGTTTGGACAAGTATATACTCGAAAACCATCTACCCGATACATTTTGGATCTTTTTGAGGAAGCATTTTTGCTGCTAACTGCCAACCTTGCAGAAACAGTTGGAAGTTCAAAGTCGAAGGTACAAGCTAGAACTATCCCAGATAGCCATGTTTTCCAGAGGAATTGGGGTTCTATAGACACTCATATGGGCATATAGGAATTATGTCCGAGGGGGGCTGTAACGATAGGATAATGCAGAAGCAAATGGAAAATCACATGGCAAAGTGAATTGAAGCTCGGGCTCTCCTGGGATATATTGGAATCAGGGATTTCGGGTTGATCAAATTTATGGGTCCTGTTGTGGAGGTACTCCTTAGAAGGAGTCCTGTTTTTTGTGCTAGATACATTTTTGTTTTTTGTACCCCCCCCCCCCTCCCCCCATGTAGGTCTTGCTTCAAAGGACAGTAGTCTATCTTAGGCCCCCTTTTGGGAGGGTACAGTCAGGGTTTCGGACTTTTCTGGCTTTGGCATGGGTTGATCTCAGAGGGGCTAGCAACAACCCATAGGTTCTCAGAGCGGCTGCTCTATTTGGCGGCCCCTACCCAGAAGTTTACATCCATTCTCATTTCTATGGTGTCAAGTTTCAACCATCGATCGTTTTTGGTATAAGGTAACCTTGCTCGGGGTGATAGGATTTGTAAGGGCAGTTGCCAAGCTTTGGCTGCGGCCTTGAACCCTAACCCTGGTTTGAACAGCTCAGGTCGCAGAGAAGTGCCGCGCACAAAAGACTGCGCCGCGAAACAGGGCACAGAGCCCAAGAGATTAGAGTCCCCCTTAAGTAGATAGAATATGGCTTTGGGTATATTATAACAAGATCCCCATATATCCCATATTCTATCTACTTAAGGGGATTATAGGTCCTATTAGGAGGTTTGGTGTTCAGGGTTCGGTAGTTACAAGTGGGATTACACCCAAGGGTTTGTGCAGTAGTCTTTCGCGCCTGAGCCTGCCAGCTACCCATGAACCTGCCGGTTGGATCTAGGGCTTCAGGATTAGGGTTTTAGGGTTTAGGGTTTAGGGTTTAGGGTTTTGGTTTCAGGGTTCATCAGCAAGGTGCCTACACGTAGCATCTCTGAGTTCGTTTTGGGTAGATGACGGAGTCGGGGATCACGGATCAGGAGCCTTCAACCCTAGATCCAGACCCCTCCCTCTGTCTGACGCGGATTTAGGTACTGGGTGGTCGGGTTATCTCACATCGGCTCGGGTTTTTTACACATCGAGCAGCGTCCACACTGGGGGACCCAGTTCAAAAGCATGCACTCGAGTAGATGTCGTGCAAAAGCGATTCTTGCAGTTGTGCGGTTTCCACAGCGTCCACAGGGTTTCAGCCCATGATGCGGCATGTTTGTATGGCGTCGTTGTATCTGTTTAGCAG